ACATTGTTTGACTAATCAATACCCCATGAAGTTAATTAACTAATGAAGCTAATTAAGTGAGCTGATAATGAAATCTAATAAATACATAAGATGAATTTAGAACTACACTATTTGCATTGTGTCAGATTTATAATTTATATTATAATATACATTAATTTACAAATACAATATATATGAATTTTAGAATTTTAAACTCCTATGGATAAATTAGAAGATGAGACAATAGTATATTGTAGATTTATATGGTATATTGTAGATTTATATGGTATATTGTAGATTTATCCCAGGACCAGGTGGCTTAACCTACTACACGTTGATCTCTGTAAATTCTTGGCAAGCTTAACCATAGAGCCATAAGATTAATTACAAACAGCAAGCCCCTCATCGTTAGACTTTGTGTAAAAAGCTTGGATAAACCTCTTTAGCCATCCGCCCCTTTTTTGTTGAATTCAAAAGGAAAATACGGATTTTTTAAAGAAGGCTAGTTGAATGGGTCAGTGCTACACTTTCATCTGAAATGCTTGTAAACAAAAAAGCATGAAAAGTGCTTTAGCATTAGGTGAAACGTACTTTGAGAAACAAGAAAAGGCTTTGAACAAATGAATGAAAATGACACTCATTTACTTGAGATTATGCAGGATGTTAAGATTGGTTCTGTTTCCTTTTCAGAGGTGATAAATACAGTAATTGTTGAAGCTTAAATTGAGATAATTTTGCTGATTTTTCTTTTTTCAGATTATATAAATCTACATGATCTCATGACAAATCACAAATGATTTACAATAATTAGACCCCAAATACAGAATATGGGTGTTTCTTTGTAATAAACATGCGGTGGCCCCCAGCTTTTGAATCAGTTGTTTTACAGAAAGAAAAGCTACTATAAAAAAATTATTCGCAAAGTTTGTGCAAAAAGAATTGCTAATAGCTTGTGTCTGTATCACAACATCAACCTACGATTATTACATCATCCCACAAAACTCAAAAAATTGCAGGTGAATGAGAAATGGAATAAATATAGGAACATTGTAACACGTCAATAGCTCAGCCTCAGATCAATATAAATTATTGGGATGAATAGGAATGCACGATGAGGTCAAAGCCAAACTCAACATCCAGGCTTAGCAGTACTAATAAATTCATAAAGGGGGAGAGCATAGATCACAGTTTTCTGTCAGAAATTAGTAGAAAATTGTATATAATGGCTTGGACAGGTATGCAAACACCCATTTCACATAACTACTTGTGTCTCTTGTAAGACTGTATATTTAAAATGAGTGGAGTTGGCTAAAGAAAACATATCTATTTTACTCCCTAGACAGTACTCTGTATTGTTACTATATTAAAATATTCATACAAATTGGAAAGAGAAAAAAATATATACAAATTCACTAATCTTGATTCTGTGTCCTACGGCTCCAAAATGCCTTGTCTATCACAACTTCAATTCTGCCACACTCCTGTAAACTTCAGTTTCACCGAAACGGAATCACCAACAATCACCCTCACCTGAAAGCTCTATAGACTATTCTAGTTACCCGATTGCTTCCCCCTGTGTCGTGAGGCTAGCTCGGATGTTTATACCTTTAACCAGGTTCTGGAGTCTTTTTTTCTTGTCTCCAAGTCAAGGTCTGAGCATTAGTTATAGTATCGACCATGAGTACCGGTTTGTAATTTGTACTTTGAAAGTAAGTTGCAGAAGGACTTCACCAGACGCTGCACATTCTTTACTGCACAATGCTTAACTATAATGGCCGTATTGGATGGAGAATCATACATGACTGAAAGTGCATTTATGTATTAGTAGAGAAATTGTAGCTCATCTGTAAATGCTACCCACCCCACCAAAGTACTGCCGTTAATGTATACTGAGGAGATATTGCTACATGTGGGAAATAGACACAACTCCTGTATTTCTCTGTCATTTAATATTTAATCATTCCAAAACACAGATTATGACTTGAATAATTGTTCACTGTACAGGGAAATCATATAGGCACTGAAAGAATTATATATGTAGGTTATAATAGACTCTTCCCGCTGATTACATTACGGCAGACACTTTCTGACATATTAACAAATAGGCTTGATTGTCTGTGAACAAACTGATTGTAAGCTGGATTTTTTTTTCTACATATCAGAGGACATATCAAATTATAGACTTCACAGTGAACAATAAAACACTCCCACAGTGCCAATTTCCATTGGTCAATAGCAATGGATACTGTATGTAGTTTGAGTGAAAGTCACACCACTGTCCACATTCATAGAAGCAAACAATGGGAAATATTATCCCAGTGCCTCCTGCCAGTAATACGCCCATAAGTATGTTATTGTAATAAATACGAGTGCAAAAAATTTCAGGGATCTGAAAGCACCTCAAATGACAAAGCTGATAGATGTATAATATTTCACAATAATGTTGCTATTGTGTTTTAATTCCCCATAACAAGATTTCGAGAACTTAAATATTCATTAGATTCCCTTGAAAAATCCAATCCACCAGCCTCTTCTGCTAATGTATCTCTTTTGATGAAGACAGAGCAGCTTGAATAGATTAATAGAAGTGGTTATCTCCAATTTCCATAGATATTTACAAATATTATTATAAAAGTAGCCACACAGGAATTAGATTCAGACCTCAAACCAACAGCAATTACCCAGGTGGGCTGTGAAAAATATTACACATTGTATATAAATTGTATTATACTAGCAGACATAAAATGCAGCTTATATGATGCAACTGAAATTGGTGGTGTAACTGTTACACATTTATTTTCTCTCAAAGCCACAAAGACCATCTGACCATAACACCGTGCTGTATGGAAGCAGAGCTTGTAGATCGAAATGTAGCCCAAATATGGATAAAAAAATATTGCCTTTCAGACACTTGGGACATCTGTTCTTGCGTTTTTCAGCAACATTTTGTAAAATTATACATAATGGTACAATGATGCTGCACATAGCAGTATAACAAAGCAATTACCAGCATTGCAGGAGAACCATTAACCAGAGGCACTTAAGACCAAGATAATTGGACTGGGCTAAATAAGGAAATGAATTGTGGATATTCTTTAATGATGAATCTCATTAGTATCGACTTCTTAGCCCTCTGCTCCGCAGTCATGATACGGACCTCTCAGATTAATGTACGGTATCTGTCCCGTTTCAGTGAACAAGCCGACCAGATCGAAGCTTCGCTGCTATTGCTGTGTAAATGGATTAAATCCAGTGTTGTCTACGTGCGCATGATTTTACATAAACTCTGACCAACCAATACTGAATGAGTGATGTATTGCCTGTATCATAATAGCAAAGGTGCTGTGTGAAAATCTATATGGTAATTGAATATAAACTCAAATATGGATAAAAGTACAGAGTCCCCCTGTAGCAGAAAAAGGATCAGATCGATACTGGAAGCAGTTCAGTACATCTAGCTTTGCATATCAGCAAGCAGCAGTCAATGAGTTGAAAGCAAGGATTCCTGTGAATAGGGTGTGTTTGGTGGCATGGGACAGAGTAGCATAGCTATGTTGCATGTCCACCTCTAGTGTCCATCTGGGATTATCATCTGCTTTCAGTCAGTCTCACAGGTTTAACCAATTTCCTATTGTTAACTGTGTTGGTTTGTATTGGGTTAACATGGCACACGGTCACCCTTCCCACCACAGGTTATAAACTGCTTTGTATCTATCTGGTTAAATCCTTCAGAGAATGGTTTTTGTTACGCTGTGCGCAGACCGAATTAGACGAAAAACAGCTCATCATCACCATTTTCCATCATGGAGTATTTTGGACTGAGAAGCTAAATTTTCTGTTAGCCACAACAAAACTATACAATTTGTATATTTTTTAAAAATTGATCTTAGCATGCCAGTTGCAGGCTTAGAAATAAAACTGTAGAATGTATGATTTGTGATTCAATCACTGAAAGTTAACTAAGTTTTGGAAAATAGTGTGTAAGTGATTTTAGGAAAACATATTGAAGGTCGTTACTTATGCGTGTGTAACGTGAAGGCAAAGGGTGTCACGTGCAGGTACTATGGGCCACATGTGAGCAAGGGGCCGTCACACTCACATAAGGACCAGCACTAATCCCCCCGGGCCGGTCGCAGTCTGCTGACGGCGGTTCAGGCTTGCGGTTGAATGCGGGCTATGTTTAGACATCCCCCCCATTCTGTCGAGAATCCCACTGTTTGGTGCAGCTGTGTGGCTTGTGCTTTAATCCCCGTCTCCCTCCTGGTTCGAGTGGAGCCCACTGTGCTTCTCCCAGTGAGCCGGCACAGGAGATGGAGAGGTTAGTGCTCACTGAACCCATAGAGAGAGAGAGAGAGAGAGAGAGAGAGCGTTCCTCCTGAGGGTTCACAGGCAGCTATGAAGGTCTGTGAAGATGGCAGGTGTGTCTGTTCTAATGCACATGGCACAATCCTGCTTCTTCCATGAATCAGAAGCCTGTTCCCTCCGCTGAAAGCCTGACAACATGATCAAGGTGCTTCTCATCAGGCTTTTTTTTGTTTTCCAAGGGTTCTAATTAGAAGTAACAGCTTCTTGATACTTTACCGTTTTATTGTTACCAAGCAATAGACAAACGTAATTGATAATAATGAGGAAAAAAAGTATTATTGATATGATTTAAGCATTAAGACAAGCATTTTCTTCATTGGACAATCTGATTCCATCATGGCCTGATCTCTTAAACACTAAAATTATGATTTCTGCTGAACTCGGGAAACAGAGCTAGCCAAGTGTCTCAGTTTTTCAGATTCACACTAGGAATGCATTTGGCATTTTATTTTATACTTCTTTGCTGAATTGATATGTATTTTATTTATTATATGCTTGAATAGGTGTTAAATTCTTAACAGCAATCATAACATTATTTAAGCAGCACATACGCATAATACCTTAAAATCTAGGCTGTGTACAGAGTATAGCTAAATGATTAACAGGAAAGACTTTGTACTTTACTTTTAAATGTGTCTTTTCTGTGGCGTTCATTAGTACCCTATGTTAAGCACAAGCATTAGAATTTCTCACTGTAAGGAACAGTAAAATTGAAGAAAGACAAGTATTAATTGCATTAAGTTGTTATCTGTAATAGTTACAGTGATGAAAACTGCAAGGTAACTTGTTTCAGATCGAGGATTTGCAGCAGGAAAAGTCCAGTTGTCCATGGAGTGAAGGTCAGTGAAGACTGTCTCATTATCCAGTGCAAGAGTGTTCAATCCATTGATTTTTAAATCACTAGGCATAATTTAAAGATTCAATTGAAAAACTGGAACTGAAGGTCTCTGCAAATTTGGACAGTAAGGCGTTTGACATCAGTCCGTGTTTTCTGTGTACTTTGGGCAATGGATGATATCAAAATATTTGCATGCAGACGATTTTGTCCAACGTGACGTATAAGTGAGGGCAGCTTGGGGACAGAGAGCAGGGTCGGCCAATGTAACTGGAGTGCCATCTTCTCGAGCTCATTGTGGCAGCACTGACAAGCAGACTGACAGCCATCATCAATCTGCTTGGGCATTACAGCTTTGACTGTGCTTCACTGGACGGCCAGAAACATAGAAATTTAGCTACAACACTGTCTAAACTGTCTAAACTGGAAGGCATCAAAAGTCTGATAGGTGTGCAGTGTCTCTGTCAGTAGTTCTGTGGCCTTCAGGACTTCCAGGGTTCAGTTCCTGTCCCAACTGCGTCTGTGTGGAGTTTATATGTTCTCTGTGTGTTTCTGCCTTTTTCCTCCAGGTCGTCCAGTGTCTGTCCAAGACATGCCGCAAGGTGACCCAGTGTCTCTGAAATGCCCATAGTAGGTGACTGAGCGTGTGTGACCTGTGATAGACAGGCTTCCCAGCCAGAATGTCCCCTTTTCCTACTATAAACAGTTATAGAAGTAAATGAATGAATGATTAGCAAAGTATTTTCACAATGAATCTAGTAATAATAATAATAATAATTATCGATGCCACCTGTTGGGGCACCCAGGGAGCTTGGGGTTAAGGGCCGTGCTCAAGGATCCATAGAGGTGCTTAGGCTGGGTTTGAACCGGCGACCTTGTGATTATAGGCACACAGGCTTAGCCCACTGGGCGTATCCCTTAATGTGAATTTAGTACATTGCTTTCAAATGTCAAAATAGATATCTTGAGTATAATCAAAGAACAGGTATATCATAGATAAAAATGAATGGTCATCGCTGGAGGTGGAAAGTTCAGGGCCGGAAGATTTTGCCAAGATTTTGTTCCAACCAACCAATTGAGTTACATTCACAGGGTGCGCATCTGGCTGGTTGGAACAAAATCTTGGACTGGACTTATACTTTCTGGACCTGAACTTTCCACCTCTGGTCATCTCTTTCATTTGCTGGCCCTTAATTGTGTCGATTTTTTAGGTACTTCCACGACAGATGCCTCACAGCAGTGTCCTTCTCTTTTAAACTACAGCAAATTGAAAGATTTATTTGTGGAAGGAAAGTCCAAGAAAATCTAAGTATAATATAGAAAGACCCTTTTTGACTCTGTTTCCAGTTACAGAAAACCATTAGTTCATGGCTCAATTAATCAGGAGTGGCCAGTAGTGGTTTGCTCCAAAGGTTATGTGGAGGTAACGGAAGGACTCGTATCTTTATCACCAAGCTTATCTTTGACTCTCTGGAAAGTCCTGATGGCTTTTCATCTCCAGTACATCATTACTAATCCCAACACAGAAGCTTTGGCTGGACCGAGTGCAAACAAGGGAGAGGAAGAGAGATATCAGGTCAAAACTGTAGAGAATAAGGTTAGAATAGACCTGTAACATAAATATCACTGATTATGGCCTCAGTTTGGATCAAATATAGCGGCATGAAAGGTGAGAGGCGGAGAATGAGAAAGACTATCTAGTTCGGGTTGTTGGACTATTGGCACAAGGCTGAAAAGAATGACACCTCAGATAAGATTGTTTAATAAATGCAGAACTTGGTCTGCATTTATTGCTTGTCTTGGTATGTCTTTTACGAGTCGTCAAATCAGCTGAAAAAGCTCACAGCTTGTTTGATTGTTGGACAAAGGCTGGCCATTCTTCAGCTTTTTGCATGAACGTTCAGTAAGATGTGTTGCATGTCTTGTTCCTCCGGGATTAAGTCATCAGTGGTGATACATTCATTTGTGCGCCAGGCGCCCGAACCCAGCACAAGTCGCAGTCTTACATCTGGGTTCCTAAAGCAGCAGTTCAGCAGCATGCTATTCCAGGGCACAGGATTAGAACCTGCAGCTTTCTGGATCCAGTTCATTTCCTTAAGCTTAACTTGAGTCTGCAGCCGACGGTAACTTTCGAAATCACACCCATTTCTCAAGGTGACATTGCCTTTTCTCTGGCTTTGCCTGCTGTGTTAAAGCTTCACCTTGCAGTAGTTTGCAGACATAGTGATGCGGCAGACAAAGAATGTAACTTTTGACTGGATGCATTCTGTCACACCTTGACATGATATATATTACTTCGGCTATTACTCTTAGTCAAATACCACTACAACAGTATCCTGGTCCTACTAAGATTTTAGAAACATGTAAGACGCATGTTCATTCATGTCATAGCAATATAAATCATTCTTGATTTTTGAGGGTGCATTTATTCATTTACGAGTGCATTTATTTCCATTTTTGTCCACTTTGGTAAATCAGACACAATTGTAATCTCTAACAGAGGCTTGGCCAGATGCAACTACTCTACCTCTGTATCCAACTGGCACAATCTCTACATGATGACAATGGCAGTGGCTGTGAAAGTGGCAGTAAACGGCAGGCTGGGAAAGCACTGGAATGAGATTTTTCTTATGATCAGCCTTTAATCAGACAAGTCCTTCCCTGATTTATGTATTCAGTGGTTATTCGTGACACTTTCATATGTCGAGATCCTATTGCTCCATTCAGACACACATTCTGGTTGTTAAATTAAAAGAAAGAGCACATATTGGTGTTTCTGGTGCCCTGAATGCAATGCGTCTCTTTTACTTTGAGTTCCATGGGCCCAAAGTTGGAAATGAGTGCAACGTGGTCAACATCACACATCATTTTAAGCACAAGGCTGTGGAGACCCAGATGAAGAATCACATTGGCTCAAAATCCATTACTTACCCTCTAAACCTCCGAGCACCTTCCTCCTGCTGTTTCTGAAATACTCGTCATCGGAGCAGAGCCCTGAGCTGTTATGCTTTTGCATATATTAATATTTTAGCGTCGGAGGGTACGGCCAGCTGTTGCCAGGCAGATTTGTCTGCTGTCTGCCATTGCTGGGTCACAGTCACTAATCTAGATACAAGCTCCCAGTCTTAGGAAATCGTCAACAATGCACGATGATGTGTATGAAGGTAAATTCACTCAGGAAAATTATTCTTCATATGAATGGCATAAGACAAAAATATCATGCAAAGAGTACGTAAAAACGTGACTGACGAATTAACTGATGTGAAACAGGACTTGTCATTGATAAAACACTATAAGGCACAAGTGCACAAGTGCATTTCAGATTAAGCTGTATAGCCATACACCTTTCCAAGCTACAACAGACACAGTGGTAGATTCTCGCCTTCGTGAGCCGCATTCCACACTGTCTACAGGTCTGACCAGCATCTATCATTACCTTTGACCAAAGATTGTTTCTGGACCATTTTTTAACCATTTTAAACAAAATAGAGTTATGTTGGGCCAGCATTCATCTTATATGTATGTTCAATAATACATATTGCCTACATAAGGTCATTACTGGATGAGGAACTCAAAGTACTAGGATATGTCTGTTTAATAAAATATCACCGCTTGGCTTTGCACAAAATTCTGCCTGAAAAATATATATTTAAAACAATATTCTTTCCTTGCTTTCAAGTACATTTTTCTTTTAGTTCTGCTGGCAACACCTGATTAATGTAAATATCAACAAATTATATTTCCATGACATTTCAAGCTTTTTGGCCTGAGACAGTGTAGTTTTTGGGGTTGGTTTTGACATGCAGTGAAAAACACTGTCGTCTGATTGTGATCCTTTCAGTCCAATTGTGCAGTGAAGCTTCGCAGTTCTGATTGTGCTGGTCAATGTGCTCGTTCTGTGACTTCATGCCCCGAAGACTGAGTCTAGACACTAGGCAGCTGAGCTGGCCTGCTGACCTACATCCCGCAGTTATTCTACACTGCGCTTCCGTGAAGGGGGGGGGGGGCACGACATTGCAGGGGCACAGACAGGGAGGAGAGAGTATGGCAAAGCGAGGGAGGGAGAGGAGGGGGGAGGGGGGATGAAAAGCGAGTAGGAGAGAGGGAAAGAGAGAATAAGAGAGGCAGGAAAGAGAGCGAGCAGATAAAGAGGCAAATGCGGGAATGTGAAGTAACGGTTACTGGAGCTTAGAGGGCAATCGCCATGTGCACCACAAAAAAATGCCGTAATAAAACTACAGTGTTGAAAAACAGCAATAAAGTAACAGATAAGAAGAAGCATGAATGCACTGCTGGGTCAAACATGATGGAGTGACAGTTGAGACTGATGGCAATCCCTAAACGGGCACAGCTTCATGTTAAGGCCGCTTATCGGTAAATGTCATATCCAGCCATTCAGACCCTTTCCCTTGTTTTCATTCTTCACTGTGTGACTTTCTGCGTATTCAAATCATGCAGCTGCTCTTTGATGCCAGAGCAGGTGTCAAACACAATGGAGACACTTGGCTGATAACAGCCCATCATTTTGTTTTCGAATTTCACGTCCGCCGGGGCGTTTCTGCTAATCAGCAGTCTCAAAGCGGCTGCCTGTCTGAACACACGGACGCGATTCTGCTCGCATTCCTCCAGACGGCGACCGGCTGCATTACGTAGACCCCGTCTAACTTTGTTCTGGGTGAAACTTCGTCAAACCCCTGATATGCTCCTGGTTCTGTCATCCTCCTTCAGTCTGGCTGCGTAGAAGCTGAACCGAACACATTTTGACATCCTCTTCTACACAATTCCGGAGAGGCATCTCCGAACTTCAACTGTCTTGTTTAGACCAAAATCATAACTTTCAGTAATTGCTTTCAAAATATCAGACTGTAAAGGAACTGTGTGTTTTGACATGAATTACAACACTTTGAATTCAACTCTGGATTCTGCTTGCATTTGCCCCTTAACTATACAGTTTCCATAGTTTTTCTTTTTTTTTGCAATTCTCAGGGGCCAAATAACAACTGGCTGTAGATCAAGTGATACAGTTGTCTGAAATGATTATTTTGAATATCCTTTTACTGTGCATATATTTAATCCATACATCCATTCATATTCCGACCCCTTATCCCAGTACATGACTTGAGAGAACCTGAACCCTATCCCAGGAAGCAGAGGGCACACCGCAGGGGAACAATCTGGATAGAATGTCTGTCCACAGAAAGGGCACAATCACTTACACAATCACTTATTATGGAGCTATTTAGACACGACACCAGAGTTGTGAGGCAATGGTGCTACCCACTGAGTCTATATGAAATTACACACAAAACAAAATATCATTAACATTTTTCATTCGACATGTAGGTTCATTTCACAAGTTGTTTAGAAGCAGCATAACACTTTTGTCAGACTATAAATATAAATATATTGCTCTATATTACATATTTTATGTATGTAATATGGAAAAATATATTTATAGTTTTTAGATATTTATATATTTATTTGGGTGTATATACTAACCATAACTTCATCGAATGTGTGTATGATAAGAATTGCTGGTTAATAAAAACCTCTAATCTTCCTTCTAGACTTTGGATTAATAGTGGGGGTGGGTCAAACATGCTCCCCTAGTCCATGCATACAATCCAAAT